TTTTTGAGACAGGGTCTTACTATGTGGCCCAGGCTGGCCTCAAATGCCTCAGCCTCTCCCAAGTGCTGGGATTATGGGTGTGTATCACCACACCCAGTGAGAGACCTACTTTGGAAAGTTGTGAGGGAAGGCCTTCCTCAGGGGCATTACTTAAACTGAGCACTGTAGGATGAAATGGAGCCACTCATGCAAAGGGGTGAAGAAGGGTGCTATACAGCAGCAATAGAAATTATGCACATGCTCGGAAGCCCTGAGGCAGATAGATGAAAGCTTACAATGTTTGGTAAAACTCAGGGTGTAGTGTAACTGGATTATGTGAATGAGGCCAGCTGGACACCTCCACACCATTTAAATGTTGTGGGTCATGGCAAGGAGTTTGTAGATGAAGTTTCATAGGAAACCACTAGAGGATTTCAAACAGAAAAAGTCATATAATTCTATTGACTGACTGATTGATTATAATACTGGTAATTAAACCCAGGGCCTCTGAACTGAGCTATATTCTCATCCCATTTTATTGTCTCTTTTGAGGCAAGATCACACTTTTGAGCTTGATCAGCCTGGGCTTGAACTTGCAATCTTCCTGCCTCAGTATTCCAGAGTGCTGAAATTCCAGGCCTTCCCCACCATGGCTGCACATAGTCCAATTTGTGATGTATTAGAAAGGACAGCTGGGCATGGTGGCACATAACTATAATCCCAGCACTTGGGAGGATGAGGCAGGAGGATTGCTGCAAGTTCAAGGCCACCCTGGGCTACATAGAGAGAACCCGTCTCAAGAACAAAGAGAGGGGCCAGAGGTTTAGCTCAGTGGTTCCATCACCTGCCTCAAAAGCGCAAGGTCCTGAGTTCAATCCCCAGTACCAAAAGAAAAAAAGAACAGAGGAAAGGGGGACAGTAATGGCATAAAGATATCACAGGTGACATAAGACCATTCAAAAAGGAGAAGAGTATGCATTCTCAGTGATACAGGAGTCAGAGAAGGGACAGATTCTTTTGGTGATGACCCTCAGGGGCAGAAAGACAAATCAGGAGGCTGGTACAGGTGTCCAGATAAGGGATACTAATACTGCATCAGGGTAACTAGTGGAAGGGGAGGAATCAAGGGATGTAAGGGAGTTAGGGTGAAGCCATTCTATGCAGACATGGATTGGATGTGGGACGAGTGAAGGGGAACTGTGAAGTGGTCAAGGTTTCTATGTGGGGGCATAGTGTGGACGGAGGTGCCATTAACTGAGCTTGGTAACATAGGAGGTGAGTGGGCCAGGAGTTGGAGGTACAGAGAGAACAGGAAGATTTGGACGTGTTGACTTCGAAGTACTTGCATAGAGGTATTTGCCAGAGAAGAAAAAACTGTGAAGTTGAAATGAGGCACCATATATATGAAGTACCTAGGAGCATTTAGTAGGTGCTCAGATGGGTTCAGTTTTATTGATACACTATAAGCACTATCATTACTATTTCTATTTTAATTCTTTATGCTTTGATTAGGTCAGCTCAGAAGGCAGCTTCTCACTCCCTGAGAGAATGATCTAACTCTCTCACCTCTTTCCTTCTAGCCTGACTCAGTCACTGGTGGAAAAGGAACAGAGACTCCTTGTTTTGCAAGAAGCTGACTCTGTTCAACAGCAAGAACTGAGATCCCTACACCAGGACATGCAGAAAGCCCAGGAAGGGCAGAAGGAGCTCAGTGCCCAGGTATCTCCCACTAAGCCAGTACTGGGCAGGCTGGGGGCTGGGGAACATGACCTAGAGACGAATGGCTGCTGTAGGGAACCTAACAGCCTGGAACATGGTGCCCAGGTACACCTGATTCATCCACGAATGTGCCTGGTGTGGTTGACAAGGTGCTGCAGGAGGAATAGAGCAGCAAGAAATATTCCAGATCAAGCAGGCAAGGGGACTCCAGAGGCTTAGTCTGCTCACAGTGGCCCCTCAGCCTGGTCCAGAGGAGAGATGGGACTGGGAGGGGAATGGGTAGGGGAGCTAGCAATGGACAAGGGCACTGGTCTGCTATTGGTCCTGAGTTTGCCAGCCCTACTACTTCCTAGTTGTATGAGCATTAGGTTCTTCATCCATAAACTACAGCAATGAGTCTTAGCCACGACAGCAAGATGTAAGCATGGTCAGGAACACAATAAATATGGTGATGGTCTTAGGCTTAGGGTTTCAGAGTAGAGTTCTAATGAGAGCAGAAAGCTGACAGTCTGCTTGGGAATCCAGGTCAGAAGCCATTAGCGTGGCCTGGGCCTTGGTGTCAGAGTAAAGGAATACTCATTTCAGCCCTCCCTACCTGCTACAGCTGAGCCTGTTCAAATCCTCCCAGGTTGAGACCAGCTTTGTCCAGGCATGGAGTGGGATCAGGCCTGGGAGGTCTAAGGAGACCCAGCTCAGAGTGAATCCTCTTCCTCCCTGATAGGTGGAATTACTGAGGCAGGAGGTCAAGGAGAAGGAGGCTGACTTTGTGGCCCAGGAAGCACAGCTGCTGGAGGAGCTGGAGGCCTTGCGGATCACGGAACAGCAGCTACGAGCTTCCTTGTGGGCCCAGGAAGCCAAGGCCGCCCAATTGCAGCTGCGACTGCGCAGCACAGAGAGCCAGCTGGAGACACTGGCCGCTGAGCAGCAGCCTGGGGCCCAGGCCCAGGCCCAGCTGGCCAGCCTCTACTCTGTTCTGCAGCAGGCCCTGGGGTCTGTCTGTGAAAAGAGGCCTGAGCTGAGGGGTGGGGGAGACTCTGCCCCCTGCCTCTGGGTCCCTGAGCCAGGTGAGGCAGCTACAAGAGCTAAGTCCTTTGGGCCAAGGATAGGCCTAGCCCCAGGGAGAAAGAGAGAGGAGTGTAGTTCCTCAGACAGTATTGCATCAAGGTTAGGCCCACAGGCTCTGGAATTAATTTTAGATGAGTTTGAACCCCCAGGGTTACCTTGAGGATAAATGAGTTGGGTCTTGAGTAACTCTGCAAACTATAAACCCTGACCACAGTGTGGTTTCATTTTGTATAATTTTTCTCCACCACTTGCTAGCTATGTATCCTTGGGCAACTCACCTAATTTCTCTGAGCTTGATTTTTCTCAATTATAAAATAGGATATTAAAAGTATTTACCTCAGGGGTTTTCTAAGGAGTTCATGTAAACAACTCACGCAGTTCCTAGCATCATCTAGTGCCCACTACAGTGCCTGCCGCATAGAAAAGCAGAAGGCATGTGATGACTGAACGGCTACTTTTTGAGAACTAGCCGGTGCAGAGGCCAAGGCTGGGTCTGGGTAGTGATGGCTGTTTCTTTGCATAGTGGCAGTCAGATGAAGAGGGCTTTCCTCTTTTGTCCAGATAAAAATGGAGCTAGGAGCCTCTTTAAGAGCGGGCCTCTCCTGACTGCTGTCTCAGCTGAGGCCGTGGCATCTGCCCTGCACAATCTTCACCAAGACCTGAGGAAGACACAGCAAGCCCGGGTATGTTGTCTGCCCTCCTTTTTTAAAAGTTATTCTCCTCCTCCTGAAAAGCCTGACACAGACTCACGAAGCTGTTGGACTGCTTTTCTTCTGAGATCAAGATGGGATGAGTTCCCCTTCTAATCACTTACGACCTGGCAACTATGATTAAAGCATTGGACTCCCCTGGACCTTGCTTTCACTTTCAGAGGAGGAGGATAATGCCTGCCCCACAGGTTATTTTGAGGATAAATAGGTGGTGTTTTGAGGAGCTCTGCAAACTATAATCCCTGAACAGTCTGGTTTTGTTTTGCATAAATTTTCCCTCAGCTGTGAATTTATTCTTGGAAACCTAGCAAGTTGGGGACCACTGATACTTGAGTTTGCTATTTAGGGAACATTTAAGGCCTAAGACTAAACAAAAGATCCCTCAATCCCAACTCACCCTGAACCTATCAGTCAGTACAAACTGACTGCCACCTATATGCCAGCCATTGTCACTTGGAGATGTGAAAAAGAAAGACCTGAGAGCTGCCCTCCGGAGGCCGTGATGTCATGGGGAACCAAACTGCATTTTTTCTTTCCCCCCAGTACTGAGAATCGAACCCAGGGCCTTTGCACTGAGCTACGTCTTAGCCCTCTTTACTTTTTGAGAAAGGATCTAAATCACTAAGGTACCCAGGCTGAACTGGAAATTGCAGCTTTCCTGTTTTTGGTTTCCCACAGTTCTGGGATCAGAAGCATGAGCCATCACACCTGGTCCAAAACCAATTGAATTGACTGTGTCAGTAACAGCCACAGGTGATGGGCTTCAGAACTATGAGGAAGGGCAGTCCATTCTGGCTCAGGGAGGGGCAGGCAAGAGGAGGAGGAGACCCTCAGGCTAAGCTTTGAAGTAGGTGTTTGGGAGGAAAGAGGTGTGCCCTGGAACAGCACCATGAGCAATTCTGTTTCCAAAGTCATAGGGCAGAAGGGCTTCGCGCTCACTTCTGGGAGCTACATGCATGTGAGTTCAGCAGTCTGGGAGAAGGGCAGGGGTGACAGACCACCCCAGAGGCTGAGAGTGAGGAGCACGGTTGAGCCTGTCTGGGCCAGCTTTGTGGTAGCCGGAGAACTCACCTGCCTTCCTTTCCCAGGATGACCTGAGGGATCAGGCCCAGAAGATGTCACAGCGGCTGACTGATGCCGAAGTTGAGAAGACCCAGGTCCACTCAGAGTTGCAGGACATAAAGAGACAGCTCTTTCAGAGCCAGGAAGGTGAGCCGCACAGGGAGGCAGGAAGATTTAGAGGGAGGACAGGTGGGAACCCAGAGGGGGCAGGAACAGCCTAGCAGATGCTCTTCATATTGTTTACCCACACTGTGAGGTGGTTTTTGTTTCTTTGGGGTTTTTTTTTTGTACCAGTGATCGAACTCAGGACCTTGAGATTGCTAGGCAGGCAGCAGCATCACTGAGCTACCTCCCTGGGCTGTGAGATGGTATTTAAGGTATCTCTGAAGAGGCTCTTTGGGGTATCCTTTTGCTTTTCTTAGCCTTTGAGGGCTACCCTGGAAGAAGGGATTTGAAGCAAGATTTGATAAACTGAGATAAGGAGATAGCTAGGCTTCCTTTTCCTGTCTCTGTGGGAGATTTTTAAAAATAACCTGACAGTTGAGGTGGCCCACACCTGTAATCCCAGCAAGAGACTGAGGCAAGAGGATCTCCTTCAGTTCAAGACCAGCCAGGGCTACTAGTGAGTTCAATCTGAACTACATAATGAGACCTTGTCTAAAAAACAAAAACAAAAAACAAGGCTAAGTGTAGTGGTGCCTATAATCCCAGCACTCAGAGGCTGAAACAAGATTACTGTGAGTTTGAGACAAGCCTGAACTGCATAGCAAGACCCTCACTCAGAAATAAAATAAACTTTTTTTGTCACTTATCTGTGTTACTTATTTTTATCATTTCCAGCTGTATACTCAAGATTAGCCTTGGATTGTGCTTTCTTGGGAGGCAGCAAGGAACAGGGTTCAGATCTGTACCTCACCCAAGAGCTGGAAAGGGTGGGGGGACGACTTGGAAAGGAAAGGAGAGGGCAGGGTCTTGAGGTTTGAATTTCTACTGTAGAAGAGGACAACTTGAGGCATGTGTCTAGGCCTTTTTGAGACTATTTAAGGGCTCCCTGAGACCCATACAAATAGTTCTAGACCTTGAGGTATCCTACAGAAATGAGGGGCAGTAAGCAGAGCCACCAGGGTCTCTTAAGAACCTCTACGCATCACCAGGGGACTGGAAGGGACCTCTGATGTTGGCTGGTTTAACTTGTCTGGACTCCGTCCTTGAGGATTTCTGTGTAATCGGGATGAGTAAGAGTTAGCATAATGAGAGTTAGGTGGCAGTAGACACAGGCAGGAGTCTGGAAGCAGCAGGGAACCTAAGCAAACAGGAACAGCTGGCAGATGGTGATGATTTAGGATGCTGGATATAATCCTCTCCTCGTCAGCCTTCTTCCTCTTTGATTCTCTTCCGCATCCTCCATCTGTCTCTACACCCCTGTGTTCTCCCATCGCCTACTTTGGGCCTGACTCCACTTCCTCTGCTCTTCCCAAAGAGAAATCCAAGTGGGAAGAAAAACAGAATTCCCTAAAATCTGAGCTGATGGAACTTCATGAAACTGTGACATCCTTAAAGAGTCGCCTTCGGCAAGCAGAGATACAAAGAATGGAGGCCCAGGTAAAGTGATAAGGGATTGCCCTCAAGAGCCATACCTCGGGCTGGGGATTTAGCTCAGTGGTTCCTGCTGCCTGCCTAGCTAGCTCAAGGACCCAAGTTCAATCCCCACCACCACCACCCAAAAAAAAAAAAACACACTTCATCTGGGCATGGTGGCACATGCCTGTAATCCCAGCACTCAGGAGGCTGCGGCAGGAGGATCACTGTGAGTTCGAGACCAGCCTGGGCTACATAGTTTGTTCCAGGTCAGTCTCAACTACATAGTGAGACCCTGTCTCAAAACACCAAAAAAAAAAAAAAAAAAAAAAAGACCACACCTCAGGGCTCAGGCTCGAGCTTTAAGACCCACCTCAACTTGTGGTCACATGTACATCTTCCTTCAGCACAAGGCTCAGCTCTTCTGATTATCCCCAGGTCCCTAAGGGCCATTATTAAGGTCATAGAAATCCTCCTCTAGTTATTCTTTCTGAATTGAGGTTTGGATTTTTGTCCCTTGGTCTGAAGGACCAGAGTCTGAGATCACTCGTTTGTACCAGCCATTTCCTATGGATCTAATAGAGTCCCGGGAGGTGCTCGGGACACTTTTTTAATAGGATCAGTTTAAGTGGAGCACATCACTTATTTTGCCCAAGTCCCTGCCATAGCTGGTGCCACAAAATAAGGAAGAGTTAGGCTGGTGTTGGGGTAAGGTATCAGAGAAGTCTTACTGTCTATGGTGGCTTTGCCTCTTGTTTTCCAGAATGAGCGAGAGTTGCTTTGGGCAGCCAGAGAGGACCTGACGGCCCAGGTGGAGCATCTGCAAGCAAGTGTTGCAGAAGCCAGGGCTCAGGCAAGTGCTGCTGGGGTCCTGGAAGAAGATCTGAGGTCGGCTCGCTCAGCACTGAAAATGAAAAATGAAGAGATGGAGAGTGAGCGAGAGAGAGCACAGGCTCTGCAAGAGCAGGGCGAGCTGAAGGTGGCCCAGGGGAAGGCTCTGCAGGAGAACTTGGCTCTGCTGGCCCACACCCTATCTGAGAGAGAAGAGGAGGTGAAGACTTTGCAGGGAGAAATCCAGGAACTGGAGAAGCAGCGGGAAATGCAGAAGGCTGCTCTGGAACTGCTGTCTCTGGACCTGAAGAAGAGGAACCAAGAGGTGGATCTGCAACAAGAACAGATTCAGGAGCTTGAGAAGTGTAGGTCTGTCTTAGAGCACCTGCCCATGGCAGTGCAGGAGCGAGAGCAGAAGCTAACTCTGCAGAGGGAGCAGATCAAAGAGCTGGAAAAGGATAGGGAGACCCAGAGGAATGTCTTGGAGCGTCAGCTTCTAGAGCTGGAGGAGAAGACCCAAGTAATTGAGTCCCAGAGAGGACAGATTCAGGATCTGAAAAAGCAATTGGTAACTCTGGAATGCTTGGCCTTGGAGCTGGAGGAAAGCCATCACAGACTGGAGAGCCAGCAGAAGGTGATTGAGGAGCTAGAGGGCCAGCGGGAGATGCAGAGGGTGGCTCTGACCCACCTCACACTGGACCTGGAAGAAAGGAGCCAGGAGCTGCAGGTGCAAAGCAGTCAGATCCATGAGCTGGAGAGCCACAGCACTGTTCTGGCAAGAGAGCTGCAGGAGAGGGACCAGGAGGTGAAGTCCCAGTGTCAGCAGATTGAGGAGCTGCAGAGGCAGAAAGAGCATCTGACTCAAGACCTTGAGAGGAGGGACCAGGAGCTGCTGCTGCAGAGGGAAAGGATTCAGGTCCTGGAAGACCAGAGGACACGGCAGACCAAGATCCTAGAGGAAGACCTGGAACAGATCAAACTGTCTTTGAGAGAGCGCAGCCGGGAGCTGGCTTCTCAGAGGCAGTTGATGCAGGAGCGGGCAGAGGAAGGAAAGAGCCCTAGTAAAGCACAGCGTGGGAACTTGGAGCACATGAAGCTGATTCTGCGGGATAAGGAGAAGGAGGTGGAGTGCCAGCAGGAGCACATCCAGGAACTCCAGGAGCACAAGGACCAGCTGGAGCAGCAGCTCCAGGGCCTGCATAGGAAGGTGGGTGAGACCAGCCTGCTCCTGACCCAGAGAGAGCAAGAGATAGTGACTCTGCAGGGGCACCTGCAGGAAGCCAAGGAACAAGGGGAGCTGAAAGAGCATTTGCTTCAGGGTCGGCTGGAAGAGGCCCAGAGGGCCCTGGCCCAGAGGAACCAGGAACTTGAGGCCCTGCAGCAAGTTCAGCAGCAGACCCAGGCCCAGGAAGAGAGCATGAAGGAGAAGGCCAGTGCACTCCAGGCAGCTCTGGAACAGGCCCACGGGACGCTGAAGGAGCATCAGGGGGAGGTGGAGGAGCACAGGGAGCATGTGCAGAAGCTCCAGGAAGAGCTGGCAGTGGAAGGACGACGGGTACAGGCCCTGGAGGAAGTGTTGGGAGACCTAAGGGCTGAGTCTCGGGAACAAGAGAAGGCTCTACTGGCCCTTCAGCAACAGTGTGCTGAGCAGGCACAAGAGCATGAGGTAGAAGCAAGGGCCCTGAAGGACAGCTGGCTACAGGCAAAAGCCACACTCAAGGAACAGGACCAGGAGCTGCAGGCTCTGCGGGCAGAAAGGCAGTCCCTCCGGCATCAAGAGGCAGCTCTGCAAGAGGCCTTCAGCAAGGCCCAGGTTGCGCTGCAAGAGAAAGAACAGTGTCTTCTTGAGCAAGCAAAACTGAGCCACAGCCTGGAGGCAGGCACTGCCACCTTGCAGGCTGCCCTGGATGCCTGCCAGGCTCGTGCCCAGCAGCTGGATGAGACTGTTAGAATGCGGGAAAGTGAAATCCAGGAGCAGGATCTCCAACACCAGGAGGACATGCAACAGCTCCAACGGGTGCTTGCCCAGAAGGATGAAGAGCTGAAGCATCATCGGGAACAGGGGCAGTTTCTGGAGAAGTGTCTGGCCCAAAGGAGCGAAGAGAATGAGGTCCAAGAGAAGCAGAGTCTGGAGCAAGAGAAAGAAGAGGTGCGGGACCTTCGCGAGAGCCTAAGGGAGCTGCAGCTGACTCTAGCCCAAAAGGAAGAAGAGATCCTGGAGCTTAGGGAGGCCCTGCAAAGGAAGAACTTGGCAGCCTCTCCTCCGAGCCACAAAGCCTTTCCAGTGGAGGAGCCATCTCCAACACTGAATTGGGACTTAGAGCGACTTCAAGTAGCCCTGAGGCAGACGGAGGCCAGGGAGATTGAGTGGAGGGAGCAGGCCCGAGACTTGGCGCTGAACCTGGCTCAGAGCAAGGCCAGTGTCAGCAGTCTGCAGGAGGTAGCCATGCTCCTACAAGCCTCTGTGCTGCAGCGAGACTCGGAACGGCAGAGGCTGCAGGTGAGTCACTCCAGGGGAATAAGGGCTGGGGACCCATTGGGCTGACCTCAGAGGCTGCCTTTCATCCCAGACCTTGTGGCACCTCAGAGGATGTAAGAAAGCTGAGATCATGAGCACCCACCATAAGCAGAGCTCAAGCTACAGTGCTGGTCTGTAAGCCAACCACAGTCCCTGCCCTCGGAACTAGTCTAGATGAGCAACTACATGCAGGCGGTCATTGCCCAGTAGAGAAGTGTCAGGTAGTCCAAGCATGCTGGAAGGACACCCAGCCTCTCCTGGGGCTGAATCCCAAAAGGCTTCCTGGTAAAAGTGGGGTTGAGGATTAGATCTGAAGGGACCAATTGGGAAGTAGCCAAGCACAGAGGGGAGCTGAGCTTTCTGGGGAAGTGGATGAAGAGAAACAGAGACATAGGAGGTTCTGGGCATCTGGGACATAGAAGGACGGCTGGTAAGAGAAGGGAGGATAGCAGAGGCCACAGCACTCAGAGATTATAAGTCATCCAAAGACCTGGGACTCTAGCAGGAAGGTTTGGGGCAAGGAATTGATATGATCAGAGATAGTTCAAAAAGATCACTCAGGCCAGGGATTTAGCTCAGTGGTTCTGGTGACTGCCTCTCAAGCACAAGAACCTGAGTTCAATCCCCGGTACAAAAAAAAAAAAAAGATCACTCAGGCTACCATGAGGAGCTACAGCAGATCTGGGGTGCCAGTGGGGAGAATGTAATAGGAGTCTTGGGGAGAGGTGGAGACCTAAGATGGCATAGATCTGAGGGTTCATGGGACTCCTAAACATTGATTGACTGATAGGAGAAATAAAGAAAGGGCAAAAAGTCAAAGACAACACAGGGGTTCTGCCCATGAAGATGTAAAAAGCCGGCAAAGGAAGAAGGATGGAATTAAGAGTTCAGTTTGGGAATGGTGTGAGGCACCCGTGGTTAGGTACAAGGCAAAATGTCCAGCAGCAGCTTTGCAAAGGGGCCTGAAGTTGAAGGATGAGACGGGGCCCTGATACTTTGACACCATCAGCCGTTAGGAACGTGTGGCTCTGGTAGGTGGAATGCTGAGGGAGAGAGGAAGGGGGTTCAGGATAGGACGTTAGGGTTTAACATGTAACCTCAAGGTCAAGCACCATGCCTTAGTCCTTTGCAACCCCAGTGCTGGGCATAAGACATGCAGAGAGTTGGCAGTCTGGAAAACTAGGCTGGCCCTGAGTGTAGACAGGCATCCTTTCTTTCTCCAAGAGAAACTCAGTCCATTTTTCCAGGCGACTTGACTACACCTGGTCCCTTGACTGAACCCCAGGGAACCCCTCCTGTATCTCAGACACAGAACCCCCAAGGGACTGGCCTTCTGGGACCTTACAGAGCTCTGCTCTTATTAAAGGAAAAGGCATAGGGAAGAAAGTGCATTTGTGAACTGTGGATTCAAGTTCCTGGGTCAGAAGGCGGTTCTGTACTTTTCTTAGCTATGTGACCCTGGCTAAATGCCTTCACTACTCTGACCCTTGGCGTTCTCATCGATAAGATCAGAAATGATAGTAAGAGGTGAACACTGCACTTCAAGTGCTTAGGGGGAAAGCAATCAATAGAACTCCTTGCCTATTTCCAGGCCATTGGCACACCCACCTCCCACCCCCGCACTCAAAGGCATCTTTTCGATCCAGTCCTTCATTGCAGCAGTACCATTTCATATGCCAGGCACTGTTACCTCACTTTCTTCCTCTGTCCTGAAAAGGAACTGCTGGGCCGGGGATTAAACTCAGTGGTACCGTGCCTGCCTCAAAAGTACAAGGTCCTGAGTTCAAGCACCAGTACTGGGGGCAAAAAAAAGAAGGGACTGCTAATATGCTCATTTTACAGCTGAGAAATGGTAGAGAGGTTAATTTGTCCAAAGGTGTACCTGGTAGCTGGCTGAGAAAAGTTAGAGCTAATAGTCTGACTTGAGAGCTCGGGCTTTTTTGTTGTTTGTTTTTGTTTAGTGGTATTAGGTATTGAACCAAAGGCCTGCACTGAGCTACATCCCCAGCCCTTTTTTTAGGGGGAGGGGGTTTGAGTTCACTATGTAGCTCATACTTGAACTCACTGTGTAGCCCAGGCCAGTCTCAAACTCACAGCAATCCTCCTGCCTCAGCTTCATAAATGCTGAGATTGTACGCATGTACTGGTATTGAGTTCAGTCTTTTGATTGCTCAGTTCATCTTTCCAAGACACCTTCCATCACACTGTGCACTTTTATCTTCCTGTCATTCTTCTTGACCATTATTAAGAAATAGGATGACTAGGAACCAACTAGCATTTGGTTGCCCTCTTCATCCAATGAGCTTTAACCCCACAACCTTGACCCATGTCTCTTGGAGCATGTGGCCATTTTGTAAATGAGGAGTTTGGGGTTTGGAGAAGCTTTCTGGTTTGAAATGAGCTTATATTTTAACCAAGTCTTATAGCGAATAAGTGGTGATGTAGCACCCAGCTCTGGATGACTCAAGTCTGCTCTTTCCAGAGCTGCTTTGCCTTATGTGAGTCCTAAGATGGGCTGGAGTCTCTGGTCCTGGCTCAGTGCAGGCTGACTGTGAATCCTTGCTCCTTGAGAGGATCTGTCTGCTCCTTTGTTCTATCCATCTGGAAAATGAAGGTCCTAGACTAGAATAGCTCAGAGGCTACGGGAGAACAGACTGTACCCTGGTGAGGAAATGGTGTTTATGAGGTTGGAGGGTGGGAGGCGGCTCTGGATGTGAAGTTGACGTGGCCAGATTTTGTTCTGTACCCCCCATATCTCAGGAGGAGCTGGAGCTCGCCAGGCACGCTCTGGAGGAGGAACAGCTCCACAGCCTGCACCCAGCCAGCAGAGCAGAGCGGAGTGTGCAGCCCGGAGAGGTGAGCCGGGGATTGGCAGGGACCGATGGCCCGTGAAGGAGCTCTGTCCCTTCCTGTGAGAATCGGGTCCCTGATGCCTAGACCAGCCATGTTGTTCCCTTCACCTTCCGTCTGTTCCCCACGTGTCTGCAGGGCTACCCAGGTGAGTCTCAGGTCTTCCCCACAGGTCTCGGCAGTGGAGGCTGAGCCCAATTCTGCAACAGAGGAGAAGCAGCCATGGAGACAAAGGCTGGAGCACCTACAGCAAGCAGTAGCCTGGCTGGAGATTGACCGGAGCAGGCTGCAGCACCACAACACCCAGCTTCGGACCACCCTGGAGCAGGTCAGTCGTGCCTGCTGACCTCAGCTCCAGCGCTGGAGTCTGTCTCCACTTCTCAGGGCAACCTCCAAGTCCAGCTGCTGCTTTTTTTGTTTTTTGGAGGTGCTGTGAATCAAACCCAGGGCAAGTGCTGTACACTGAGCCCCCGTTGCCTGTTTCTGAAATAAAATTCAACTGGAGCACAGCCATGCCTTGTCTATGGCTGCTTGCTCACTTCAGCACTGGAGCTGAATAGTGGTGACAGACCTGGGATGGCTCACACAGCCTAGAGTACTTACTACAAGAGGCAGCCAGTCTCCCCTGCCCCAGGCACTTCTTTGTGCTCGGACTGCCTGAGCTGTGCTTTCCCTAACCTTGGCATCTCTGCCCCTGATTGCTGACCCTTTGCCCCACCTGCGTGCTTATACTGGCCCCACTCCAAGACCTGGTTGTCACTTGTCTCTTGGCAGGTGGAACGAGAGCGGAGGAAACTCAAGAGAAATTCCATGCGCACGTCCCAGGGAGGAGCCCTGGAGGTCGCTGAAGCCATGGCCTCGTCACCCACACAGCAGGTTTCTCTCTTTTCCCTGCCTGCCCTCCAGCCCGCTGCCTTGCATATTCCAGGCCACCCTACCCAGCAAGCCAGGCCCTCCAGCCAGTGCAGAGGGCCCTGCCTCACTGGAGTCTGCCCCACTTAGCACAGCTCAGGCTGGCCTTACCCTGAGAAGCAGGCCCAAGTGTAGTTGGTGGGGTGGCGTTATGGCTAGTGGCCCTGCATTCTAGGAGTTCCCAAGCCTCAGGCTCACCCAGGGACAGGATTCACAGGGCTCTGGACAGAATCCCTGGCCTACGGAGAAGTGTCTTGGGGTGCTTACCAGCTCTTGACGTGCCTAGGAGCTCCATCATGGCTTTGCAGATTTCTTAGATGTTCTTATTACTGTTTGTAAGATTGCAGTTCGTAGTGTTTCCTGGGAGCAGAGTCCCTTTTCCTGGTAAGGTCTCTGGGGTAGACCCCCTACACTATCACTTTTTCAGCTGAAAAATGCCCATCAGTAGCTGCAGCCTTGCAGCCTGGTGGAGAGGGGCTGTTTCTGATAGCTGAGTGTCTCCAGCTCTCCATCCCCCTTCCTTTAATGGCAGCATCCCAAAGGCAGGTGCAGTGTCTTTCTTCCCTTCTCCAGCCTCAGCTCACAGTCTAGGGCTGGCATAAAACAGATACATGGCCTACTTCTGTTAAATATAGAAGTACCTCAAAGAAGCAAATTGCATCCGGGCCTTTTGAATGTTCAGCATCGGGTCTCCATGGTGGCACCCATTATGCTGGTGTGAGCTCTCCTGGGCCTCTCCTTGCCCTGAGACCACGCCCCATAAAGGTTCGGTCTGAGTTCGGGGATTTCTGGCCCACAGTCCTTGCCTAGACCCCCAGGTCTATGAGGAGATAGCTGAAGGATACTGTAGTGCCCCTGAGTGTGACTCCTCATTCCAGCAAGACTGGTATTTGTCTTCCTTAGGATGGACAAGGAGGACAGAGGGGCTCCTCAGACACCAAGCATATGGTTGAACTGCAGAAAGAGGTATGTTCTGGAAGGACCTATTTTCTAAGCCTCTTTCCCACCCTTGCACTCAAGACTTTAGGCTCTGCTGCTGGTTGGCCCTTTGTACACCTCCCACGGAGAGAGGGCAAGTACTTCCAGACTTCAGAGAACCTCAGCCTCCACAGGAGGCAAGAAGGGCTGCAATCCCAACTCTTCCTGGAGCGGGAGTGGGCAGAAAGCATGATCCAGATTCCTGCTCAGGAAGGGGACAGAGGAGCAGACAAGATTCTAGGACAGATTACAGCGAGCAGAACCATGCTGGCCTCCTCTGCCTGGTGGCTGGTGACAGTCCTGCTTGCAAGGACACAGCTACAGCTCGGGTTGAGCTGCCACACTAAGGGAAACTACATCTAGTGCCTTCTTGCCTTGCAGGTCTCACCTCCAGTTTTTCTCTCGATGCCCAGGAGTAATAAGCATGGAATTTTTATTTCTGAGCCTGTTTCAGAACCTGACTCTGTAGCTTGACCCCACTGTTACTTTGAATTATTTTTAGCTCTTACAGGGCAGTTCTAGGCGTGGTCCTGGCAGATGAGCAAGAGAGGCCCCAGGATGAAATTAGAAGCACTTGGCTTCTTAGATCTGTACCCTAGGTGCCTCTTGACCCCCCACCCCAGTCCTGGACCATCCTGAGTTCCCGGCAGCTTCCCTCCTGCTTGTTTCGCTATACCACTTTGGAAAATGGAAGGGTTAGTCAGGGAGTCTCAACCTGCTGCTCATTAGAAACACCTAGGGAGCTTTGAAAAAGTATTGATGTCCAGGCCTCACTCCAATCTAATTAAGTTGTTTGTTTGCTTGTTTGGTACCAGGAATCATTCTCAGACAGAATATACACTTAAAACCTGAGCATTTTATTGCATGAAACTGATCCTTTAATAAAATTGATGAGCAGTTTTGTTTTGAAGCTTGCTGTTTATGTCACCTGTGAAGCCAGGGTTCTAAATCACTGCATTCTCCGTGAGTCCTCAGAGACCTTCCCCCAAACCGCTAAAGCCCGATTCTGAGCTTCATGTATGTGGTAGAATTCATTCCAAGGTTGGGCAAGAGCCACAGAACAGAGAGCAAAGGAGTTGGGACAGCTTCAGGACCATCAATTGCTCTTCCTCTTGTTTTCCCTGCTCAACAGGTGGCCCTGCTGCGGGCCCAGCTGGCCTTGGAGCGGAAGCAGAGGCAAGACTACATTGCTCGCTCAGTGCAGACCAGTCGGGAGCTAGCAGGCCTGCACCACAGCCTGTCCCATTCCCTTCTCACGGTGGCCCAGGCCCCTGAGGCCACTGTCCTGGAGGCTGAGACCCGAAAACTGGATGAGTCCCTGACTCAAAGCCTGACATCTCCAGGACCAGTCCTGCTACACTCCCGCCCCGGCACTCCCCAGGCTACCCCCAGGTAGCAGCCACAGCCAGGGCAGGATACAGGCCCGCCTGCTGGAACACAGAAGACACAGGACTATAGAGGAGGTCATGGCCCCTCTACACGGCAACAGGTGTGCCAAAGGAAAGGTCCAGCTCTGTTAGCCCACCTGGGCCCCCAGGTCATCTGGCATTCACAGGAAGGGGACAGAAACCTGCACAGCAGGAGAGGGCCCCAGCTCACGTGGGAATGAGACCCATCACGTCACTGTCCTCTAGAGTCACGCGAGGAGTGCCCCCCACCAGCCCAGGGTATCTGCGGTCTTACAGCCTGATGAAACCTCTGCAGTCCACACCGGGCTGGGAGGCTTCAGTGACACCAACAGCATGTGGGTGTCCTCATCCAGCTGTGAGCACTTGATGCGGTAAGTGCAGGGAAGTTCATTGCCCTCTTGTCTGGAACTTACTGTCCCAGCAATTCACCTCATTCATGTTTCCCTTCAACAATAAACCCAGGCTCTTTGTATTAGTCCTCTGCTGTTGTCTCCTTTTGTTTTGCTGGGCAGTACATGAAGGGAATTAAGGAAGAATTTGCTTATTCCCATCAGGTATCGTGAACTTACTACATTCATGTCATGCTCTCTGATCCAAAGGTTACATACACAAGAAAAAGTTCCTGTCCACACAGAGTGTGAAGTCCAATCGATAACAGACTAACAACACCAGAGATTTAGCTCAGTGGCACCACGCCTGCCTCACAAGCTCAAGGTCCTGAGTTTGATCCCCAGTACCCAAAAACACTAACAAGCCAGGTGTGGTGGTACATGTCTGTGATCCCAGCACTCAGGAGGCTGAGGCAGGAGGATTGCTTTGAGTTCAAGGTCAGTTTAGGCTACGTAGTGAATTCAAGGCCAGCCTGAACTACGTAGCAAGACCCTGTCTTAAAAAAGCAAAAGAAAAAGGAATAGACATACTCATGAATAAGTCAGATGGTTCTTTGTACTGACTAATGCTGTGGAAATCCAGGGGACTAAGGAAGGGAGGTGTAAACTGCCTCTTGAAGGATGGGAGGAATTGGGGTGCTGCTGGTGGTCTGGCTGTAGAAGCAGGTAGGGGCCAAGTTTGGGGCATGGATTATAGAGGTCTCTAGTTCTAACTCACAGACATGAAGAACCACCAAAAGTTCCTGAATAAAAACAAATTCTGAGCCCCTAAAACAGTTCATTTTTGGCATAGATAACATCTCTGGAGTTGAGAAGCTCTGTCTGGTTCTATTCCCCTTGATAGATAGTTGTCTGTGTGAATGTCCTCAAGGTGTCCCTCCTGAGCATATCAGCTGGAATTGTCCAAGAGTGTGTCAAGCCAGTCAGGAGGATGCACTGTTCCAGAACTTGTCACTTACGACCTGGGCCTGATGGACAGTTTGGATGGAACCCAGCTGATAGGGCTGAGACCCTTGTGACAACTTCAAAGCCTCAGAACAGATCTCTCTCAATGGAACAGTCTTCTTGCATGCCAGGCAAGCTCTTTGCCACTAAGTCACACCCCTAGCACCTTGGCAGTGCTCTTGTTCCGTGTTCTTAAGGTGGGATGAGAGTCCTGCTCCCATTCTTTCACTGAGCTGCCCATGATTTGTGCATCTGAGCAACAAACACACCATGTATGACCCAATCACCTTTCCTCTCTGGTTCAGGACTCCCAGCACCATGAAGGTAGAAAAGCTGCCTGGCATGAGTGTACCCGCTAGAGGGGAAGCTGGTCATGTGGGGTGAAGGGTGCATAATCAGAGGCTTCAGGGCAAGAGCAAGATCACCTTTACACCAAGAGGCCAAGAGCTGTCTGCTCCAGATCTGGAGCCCTTCCGGTCTTTCTGCTGGTGAAATCAGCAGTCCACACTAGGTCCAGAGGCTTTGGGGATTCCAGCAGCAGGTGGGTGCTATCCAGGCTGTGAAGACTGGGTACATTAAGTATATGGAGGTTCAGTTGCCCAGTCATGAAGCCCAGAGTGGCTCTCATTCTGCAGACACAGGAAAGCAAGTCAGAAAGGCTTTGGGCCTAGCCCAGCACTGCTCCTCACCCTGCTCCTGCCCCACCCAAGCAAAGTGTGGTGCCTATAGGTGGTTACCCATATTCCAAATATTCGAGATACCTCAGTTCCCACCACAGCGCAGGACTGGCCTGGGCCAGTATCGGGACCTGGCTATGCCAGTGGTCAGATGGAAAATTCCCTTACCCAGCTGGAATTTCTGTTGTGAATCTTGGTTCCTATAGAAAAGAGCACTGACTACTGATCGCTCATCCCAAGGCCCCAGTACACAGTAGGGACTGGTCCATTGGAGGAGGAGACCCGGCAGGGGATGGGGTGAAGGAGAGGATAGGCCCAGAGCTCAGCACTGAGCCTCACCAGCTCTAGAGATAGATCTGTTCCATTGGAACAGAGTTCCCCTGAAGTGCTCATCAAATCAGTCAGACTCAGCCTACCGGCAGAGTCAGGCTTTGCAGGTTTGGAGCCAGCTGCGGGTCTAGGACCTAGAGTAGGGCTGCCAGAAGTATCTGTAGGGGTGAGGAAGCAGCCCACAGGCAGGGTCCTCATTTAGTTTGGGACAGGGACAGATGACATCTTCAACTTCATGTCCTGCCTCCTTCTGAACTACCCTGAAGAATAGTGGCAAAGGTGCCGTGGGCAGGGCAGGAGAAAGAAGCAGGGAGCACGCCACGTGACATGGGGGCACAGGGATGCAGGCTCAACTCTGCTCACCACACTTAGCAGGCAAAGGAAAGCAAGAGTGACAAAAACATGGCGGCGGGGGGGTCGTTAGATGTCTTCATAGGACCTGAAATTTGGCTGGGGCAGAGACTTGAAGGTAAGATAGGGGCCAGAGTCAGAGGAGAAATGTCTCCACAAGGCTGTGAAATGTGTCCATCTGGGAGTGTGTAGGTGTTCTTTATTCCCAGGACATTGATTTGGAGTCAAGGAAGAGATGAGACTTTATTTATTTATTATTTAGGTACCAGGCCAAACTCAGGTGTCACTGAGCTACATCCCCAGTCCTAGGCCAGAATTATTATTCAAATTTGGCTCTCTCTTAATTACTACTACTCGTTGAAGACAGAGGGATCAGGGAAGGCTTTTACTGAGCACCAGGCTGACCATCCATATGTGGCCCCTGCATTGCCCATATTGGTTTCCTGTCAAGATGTCTCCTATACTTTGGCCTGCTCCAGCCCTCAAGTCAGATCCAAGGGGCCAAGGCTTCTGCAGCCTAGGAAGGGGCCTCATCACCAAGTCACATTGTGAGCTCCTGCGTTTAGGCTGTGTTGTAAGACAGCCTTCACCTTGGGACTCAGCCAGGGCCCAGGTGATAAGAGAGGGCTTCTCAGTCAATACAAAGGCAACAAGAATGACAAAGGGCAAGAAGCTGGGCAGGCTGTAGTGCTTCTCCCTGAGAGGGGCACAGTCTATTCCCAGCCAGGTTTAACCAGGGAGCAGAGTGGGAAGGAAAAGCCCTTTGGTCTTTCTTGAGGAAAGAATCCATGAGAAAACATTGTAATATGGTTAAAAATTCCATCCATCCCAACTATTTTCTGTGGTAATTTTCTTATTTAAAATGAAACAGGGGCGCTGGGCGTGGTGGCTCACGCCTGTAATCCCAGCACTCCAGAGGCTGAGGCAGGAGGATCGCTGTGAGTTCCAGACCAGCCTGAGCTACATAGTGAGTTCCAGGTCAGTCTCAACTACATAGTGAGACCCTGTCTCAAAAAAACCAAAAAGAAAAAAGAAACAGGAGCTAGGGATTTAGCTCAGTGGTTCCACAGCCTGCCTCACAAAGGTCCCAAATTCGATCCCCAGTACAAAAAAAAAAAAAGACTAGATGTGGTGGACCTCATGTGGGCATCACATGTGAATGGTCAGCTTGTCTGACATCCTAGCTGACAGGCAACTTCCATTTGTGCTTCTGTCCTCCGCATAGATAGGCTCTCCTGGGGGGCCTTTGGTCTGATTAGCATTCTCTCAGTAAAGGGATCACTTTCTCTGCTGTTCTAATCCATCCAGGGTGGCCCGGCAGATGAAAGATGTGTGTGTCAGCAGGATGAATCCTGTCTTATTCTGCATCCCCTCAATTCAACACCTAATGTGGCAGGCTGCCTCGGGAGCTGGGGGGAGAATGGAGCTCAGCCCCTCCAGGGTATATAGACTGTGGACACAGTAGGATAAATTCTTACAGTCACCTTGGAGCCCAAAACAGAGCATCAGCTAGCTGCTCCCCATCACGATGGAGGAAGAAGATTTCTCTGGTGCAGAACAAAGCCATGCAGACAAATACTCACCTCGGTTATCCAGCCAGTTAGCCTAGTTGTACACAAGAAAGAAGGGCAGAGGGCTGGCCTGAGGCTGTATCTTTCTTTCTTGTCTCCTCACCTCATTTTAACTATAGTATCTCTTACTCCTCTAGGGAACTGAATAGTTTTCCAAAATCTAAGAAAGAATGAGAGGTGGAAAAGTTTCACAAAACTCTAGAGACCTGGAAAAGTCCATCCGGTGTCCCCACTAAGCCACCATAGACTCTTCCTGGAGCACCTGGTGTCTTCCTCTGAAGTGACCCCTCCTCAGTCCCTCACAGAATATCTAGGAACATTGCTTCTATCACCTTGTCGATCAGAGCATGTGAAGTTCATGCCCGATTAGAAAGCTGAAGCAACTGCTGCCTCCAAGAGCCTTGGTCACTGGCATTCTTGGGACAAAGGAAGAGTCCTGTGGTTTGGTTCCCTGTAGGTGTCTCAGCCCTGGGCAGGGGCCTGGCTCATCCTGGGAGGGAGACTGAGTGGACGGAACTAAGGGCAAGCCCAAGCTTTGCTGTGCCTCCCTTTCTTCAGCGCCTATCTGGAGACCGTGTGGTGCTGATCCACGTCACTGAGGTCAGAGCCGGGTGGGATTTGTGAGTTCCTCAGCACCAAACAAGTCACACCGTGGAAATCAAAATGACACACCAAGGGACTGGGAAGCACTTTCAACGTCTTCTTCCACACTTTGCCAAGCTTACTTACTGAGTTCTTGCCCTGATTACAGCAAGAGAAAGAGGCTGATCGCTGGGGCCAGGTATCAGCTTCCAGTGGAAGGACGCAGGCCTGAGTAAGTGAACCCACATCCAGAGATGAGGGATTGAGGCTGAAGAGGGAGAAGCACTTAGCCAGGCTAAGGGCAGGAGTTTGGGGCAGAAAACAGGAAAGGGCTAGGCGTGGAGAAGAAAGGGAGTTTTACAAGACTGGTGCTGCACTGACCAGCCTCCAGGGAATTTTTGTCCCCAGCGAGTATGCTGCAGTCTTCCCCTGGCATTCTCCAAGCCAGATCCATTCTCCAACTCTGTGGTTATAGGAGGAGCAGCTGCAGGTTCCAGGACAGCCATGCACCCCAAATTTGAACCAAAGGTTCAAATTTTTCTTGGAGTGCTGATTCAGGGGTCAGATCCAGGTAGGGGGCCGTCAGTCACAAGTTGGGCACCCAAAAGACCCACAGGACAAAAATCTTCCACCGGTACTTCATGTCTGGCTCAAGCAATGGCTCATGTGGCAGGCAGCACCCTGGCTTCTCTGCCTGGAAGGTTGTGTCTCCAAGGCCACAGAAGTCACCAGCTTCTTTCTGTCCTGTTTGCCTCCACAGCTTCCCAAACCTCTACATTTCACATCCCTCCAGTCTCTCCTATCCTGCCTACCCATCCGTTTGCTCACCCTCCTAGAGCATGCTGACTGCGCTGAGATGGAAGATGCCAGGGGAGACAATTCCTATATCACTTGAGAGGAGACCCTCGAAACTAGTTAAAATGATTAAAAAGTAAAGTATGGAGTTTTTTAATTGGCTCTGAAATGAAGGCCAGGGATTTAGCTCAGGGTTCTGCCGCCTGCCTCAAAAGCGCAAGGACCTGAGTTCGATTCCCCATACCAATATATATACATACATACATATATGTATATATATATATATATACACACACATATATGTATGATCCCCTCTCTCCTATGATATCCAAATCCATTAGTTTCTTTTTCCTTGACACCTTCTCTGCCAGCCTTCTCATTACTGACACACACAATTTAAGGAGAGGTTTATTTTGGCTCACAGTTTCAGAAGGTTCAGTCTATCACTGGTTGGTTACAAAGCAGAAATAGCTTGGTGGAAGGGTAGGGTGGAGGAAAGTTGCTCAACTCATGGCAGCCAGGAACACAGAAAGCAGGAAGGTGGGGAGGGAGAGAGACAGAGAGAGACACTCCAAAGGCAAGGCCCCTGTGACCCACCTCTTCCCACAGGACTCCTGGTAGCACGTTCCACTGTGAACGCATCATGAGTATAGCACCCCCATGATCCAACACCTCCCCCAACCCACCTCTGGACAAACGAAACTTTGGGGGCACCTTGGTTGTATTACTGTGGGAGCTGTTCCTTTCCGGACAATGGGGTGCAATGCTTGGAGAGTTTAAGCTCCACACATTTGAGTCTATGCCTGGAGGGGTGGCACACAACAGTGAGGAGCCCAGGGTCTAGAAAATAATTTAGGGCAACCCAGAAAGCAGTACTTAAAACCACCGGGACGTAAAACCAAACCATGAAGCCCTCGTTCCCAGAATATCTTGAGGTCTAGAAGAACCGGGTTGGATTAAAGTCCTGCTATTAATCAGTCTGCTCTTTGGGAAACGAAGCTAACACCCACTTTCCAGGGCAGAGATTCTCACCCCTTAACAACATCAGAATCACCACAGCGCCACTCCTACACTTGTTGACTCAGTATGTGGGCCCCACTTGTTTGCATTTCTAACCAATTCCAAGGTGATAATGACGCTGCTGGTCATTGCAGGGACCCTGAACATCCGCTGTTCTAAGAGATGCAAGAAGCCGGGCGTGGTGCCGCACGCCTGTAATCCCAGCACTAGGGAGGCTGAGTCAGGAGGATCGCTGTGAGTTTAAGACCAGCCTGGGCTACATAGTGAGTTCTGGGTCAGTCTCAACTACACAGTGAGACCCTGTCTCGAAAAACAAAAAAAAAAAAAGATGCAAGAGATTTGAAATGAAACACTTGACACGGTTCCTAGCACAAGACTACCGAAGGCCGCTACTGCTACAGTATTTCTAGCCGGCAGAGACCTCCGCCCAGGACCTTAATCCGCGAAGTACAGTGCAAACCACCAAGCTTTCACAGCAGCGTGCCAGACGCAGCTCTAGCACAAGGGGGCGTGGCAACATCGGTGGGCGGAGCAGTCTGTCAGATTAGAGGTGGGGGTGGGGCCAGGCGCGCGAATTGCTGCGCCTGCGTGAGGGAAGCAAGGGGCGTGGCTCCGGCTCCCGGCCGGAAACAAGAGGCTGCCGGGGCGGGCGGGCTGGCATCTCCTTTCCGGCCGGTCCCCATGGAGGCGTTGGGGAAGCTCAAACAGTTCGATGCCTACCCCAAGACTCTGGACGACTTCCGGGTCAAGACCTGCGGGGGCGCCACGGGTAGGCCGCGGCAGGGGTGCGGTTGCGGGGAGCGGGGTGTCCTAGAGCTTGGCCCGGGCGCCTGGACTCTGGACGGCCTGCTGGTGTGCGAGAGAGTGGAACAGAGGCCATTCTGACCCTCGCTCCCCGCCCGGCAGTGACCATCGTCAGCGGCCTTCTCATGCTGTTACTGTTCCTGTCGGAGCTGCAGTATTACCTCACCACAGAGGTAAGTGGCGCGGCCTAGCACGTGGGCGGGCGGGTCATTCTAAGGTAGGACCTTCGGGATGGGAGTGGGGAAGGGCTTGGGGCCCAATCTGACTGACGTAGCGCCGCCCCAGGTGCATCCTGAACTCTACGTGGACAAGTCACGGGGAGATAAACTGAAGATCAACATCGATGTTCTTTTCCCGCACATGCCTTGTGCCTGTGAGTATCTCCGGAGGGTGGGAGTTGGAGATGCCAGGGTTTCCAAGTGGGCTTCCAGATTCTCACATCCAGCCTTGGATTCAGAACTGGAACACAGGACAACCTCCTTCCCCTAAACCAGTTCTGGCTCCTGTCCTGCCCCAGACAGGTTCCTTTCCTCCAAAATCCAGACCCCCACGCGCTAAGGTTCTGGTATTTAAACTTGATTTCCTGTTTTCAGATTTGAGCATTGATGCCATGGATGTGGCTGGGGAGCAGCAGTTGGATGTGGAACACAACCTGTTCAAAAAACGACTAGACAAGGATGGCATCCCCGTGAGCTCAGAGGCTGAGAGGCATGGTAACCAAGGCAGGGGGCTGGATCTCAGATCCTAGAGCTGGATATACCCAAGTCTTACCTTCTGGCAAGGGGTCTATGGCAGGCTCATTGACATATTAAAGACTAGAAAGTCAACTTACTTCCCAGGGTACCATACACCTGTAATCCCATCACTTGGGAGGCTGAGACAGGAGGATCTCTGCAAGTTCCAGCCCAGCTTGGGCTATGTAGTAAATTCAAGGGCAGCCTTAACTACATAGCAAGACCCTGTCTCAAAAAACCAAAAAAGGATTTAGCTCAGTGGCATTGTACCTGCCTTACAAGAGCAAGGTCCTGTGTTCGATCCTTGGTACAGAAACAAACAAAAAAGAAGTAGAGTGGAGCCAGCCATGGTAGCACGCTCCTGTAATCCTAGCTACTCAGGATTCTGAGTCAGGATGATCAAAAGTTCTAGCCCAGCCTCGGCAATTTAAGGATACACTGTCTCAAAAGGTTGAGGATACAGCTCAGTACTACAGTACTTGCCTAGAAAGCACAAAGCCCTTGATTCAATCCCTGGTATTGAGGGAAAAACAAAAGCAGAGCAGTATTTCTAGCTTTTATATTCGAGTTGGGTACTTTACATGGCTTTTGTTCTGTTTATTGTAGTTTGTGTAACAGAAGCTTGAGGATGGACTTTATATGCTGCTGCCTTGGTCCAGCTCCTTCAGATAAACCCAAGCTTCCTGAGTATTTGTCTCCCTCGCCCTTTGGCTGCATTCAACCCTCAGTATTCTTCCTTTTGGAATGCAGGCAGTTCAAGGTTAATAATTTAGTTCTCAAGGTCTGTTTTTGTCTCTTGCAGTCTGTGAGCCTCAACTATAAAGTGATAAATAGTAGTACCTCATCCCGTGGATTAAAGGATCAAATAAAACAGTGGGTCCCCTAGTTATCTGGCCTAAGATTTTTTGACTTGATGATGGTGCAAAAGTATATTCTTGTAGCTATTCTATTCTTCACTTTTAGTATAGTATTCAGTAAATAATGAGGATTTTATAAAAAATTTTAGGCTTTGTGTTAGGTAGTTTTGCCCAACTTTAGGCTAATTTAAGTCATCTGAGCATGTTTATGGCAGGATAGGCTAAGCTATGGTGTAGGTTAGATGTATTAGATGCATTTTCAACTTACCATATTTTTAACTTATAATGGTTTATCAGTACTTAACCCCAACCCCATCATAAATTGAAGAGCATCTATATGTATAAAGTAACTTTTAGCCTCCTTTTGTTACTCTAAGCAGCTTCCTGTACCAAGCACTGTGTGTTATTCCTCAGCTTCATGTCTGTCTTCATAGAGTCACTGTGGGGTTGAAATGAGACAATGTATGTGAAGTACAGTGATCTGTATCTAGTGTTTAGTATTTACTGTTAATGTTTGTGTGTGTGTGTGTGTGTGTGTGTGTGTGTGTGTGAGTGTGTGGAACTGGGAATTGAACAACATCTCAGCCCTATTTTTCCTTAAATACAGGGTCTTACTAAGTCACTGAGTTGCCCAGGCTAGCTTGAACTTAACAGTCCTCCTGCCTTGGCTTCCCAGAGTGCTAGGATTACAGGCATGGACCACCACGCCCAGTCTTATTACTTTTTATTAAAAGTCTTAACAGATATAGATATATAGAGGTGCTTAATGCCTGACCCATACTACTACATATGTAAATGTTAGCTACTGTTTTAACTTCAAGATCCCCAAACTGATGGCTCTGGACCTGTGCAGGAAATAGGGCTAGAGATGTCACTATCTGTGCCCCCAGTTGATGTCTGTGCCCTTGCCCTTCCCTTAGAGCTTGGGAAAGTCGAGGTGACGGTGTTTGACCCAGATTCCCTGAATCCTGATCGCTGTGAGAGCTGCTATGGTGCTGAGTCGGAAGACATCAAGTGAGCCATACCCAGGGGGCGGAATCCCATCAGATGCTGCCTGTTAGCCAACCTCAGGGTTGGTGAGACTGGCAGGTGGGAAGGTCATACCAAGAACTTAAGAGAAGATGGGGTGCATTCCTCAGTTAGTGATCTGGTGCAAATAATTAAGGCCCTGCCTGGGAGCTTCAGACCTAGGAAGGCTCAAGTGGTCCCTGCTTTTCACCCTCGAAAAATGGACAGAGATGGTCTCTGAAGTTCATTTACCTGGCTTCTGGCACTGTGTCCTCAGGCCCAGCCATATCACCTCACTACATAGATCATACAAAAACTAAACGTATATTGTATATGAAGCCCTGATGGGGAAGGCCCAGCCCAGATCTTAGGCCCCCAGTGTCTGCTCACTGTTGTATTGTTTCGCTGGCTCTGACCTCTTAAGAGGCTGAGTCAGTAGGTCTGGGTAAGGCCTGGGAAAAAAAAATTTTTTTAAGTTTCTAAGAGTTAGGCTGGCATATACTAGCATGTGTTGAGGCCCTGATTTTGATCTCCAGCAGTGCCAAAAAAAAAAAAGGAGAAGAAGCTTTTTTTGGTGGTAAAATACATGTAACATAAAATTTATCAATCTTTTTTTTTTTTATCCTGTGGTGTTGGAAATCAGACCCAGTTCCTCAGATGTTAGGCAGGGGGCCGGGGGTATAGCTCAGTGTTGCCATACCTGACTGGCAAGCACAAGGTCCTGAGTTCAATCCCAGATACCAGAAGTAAATAAACAAATGTTAGGCAGGCACTCTACCACTAAGCTGCACCCCGGCCCCTTTTTAACTATTTGTAGGTGTACCATTCAGTGGCATTAAGAACATTCACTGTTTTGCAGCCATCATGATTTGTCCAACATCTGTTCAGCACCCAAACAGAATGGGAACATGAATTTTGAACAACCCTGCTGCCACTGAGGAAACACTGGAGCAGACCTGATGGTCGGGGGTGAGGCAGGCAGAGGCTCTGTAGCAGGAAGGACTGCAGAACGGCTCAGCCTTTATTTCCTGTGGTCCCTGTGCTGGTCATGCTCTCAGCCCTGTCCCCTGTGCTCCAGGTGCTGTAACACCTGTGAAGATGTGCGGGAGGCCTACCGCCGTCGAGGCTGGGCCTTCAAGAACCCAGACACTATTGAGCAGTGCCGGCGAGAAGGCTTCAGCCAGAAGATGCAGGAGCAGAAGAATGAAGGCTGCCAGGTGTATGGCTTCTTGGAAGTGAACAAGGTACCAAGAGGGATTGAGGGCAGCTGCACTGAGCTGGGTCAACAGAGCTTCACAGTGAACTGAGGACCCACTCAGGTCCTCAGGAGGTCGAGAGAACACTGCTGGAGAATGAGAGGAAATATTCCCTACAGGTGGCTGGAAACTTTCACTTTGCCCCTGGGAAGAGCTTCCAGCAGTCACATGTTCATGGTGAGTGGCCCTGCATCCGTGGGGCAGTTGAGACCCTGGATGCCCTCCTGGCGAGTTGGAGTGCCCTCTCTTCCTGGTGTTCTTTTGTCTTTGGCCCAGAGTGTGCCGGCACCTCAGTGGTTAAGAGGACAGACTGAGGAGCCAGACTACCTGGTTTCACATATCAGTTTCAAATCTTACTGGCTGTGTAACTTTGGGAAATTTCTATTCTTTTTAGCTTCAATTTCCTTCTTTGTAAAATGGAGATGATAGTACTTATACCTCAGGATATTTGGGCAGGTTAAAGATTTTTAGGGGTCGAGTATGTAGCTCAGTGGTAGAGCACTACTTACTTGCCTGGCATGCAAGGCTTCTAGGTTCAATCACCAATACTACAAAAAAGAAAACCAAGAAGATTATAGCACAGAGCCTGCTTGTTGTAGGCACTTGTTTAAGTGGTAGCACTTAATACAGATGACCTCTGTGTGAGGTTTTAAGGAAGCAAAGCTGGGTCAGAGCACAGGTTCTGCTGTGTCATATTTGGGAATTATGGAACTCTACTTAATGTCATCTTCTGTAAGGTGGGGATGCTAATACAGTACTTCCCTCTCAGGAATGATAAGTGAGATTTATCCTGATTCATTCATTGATGCATTCACTAGCCATTTAGTAATCAATCACTTATCATGTGTCATGTGTTAGTCTAGATCAGTGATGATGAACCTTCTAGAGCTGTCAGTGATACAAATAGCCAGCTGCAGCACATGTACCATAAATTCACCACCATTGGTCAAAATGGTAAGATCCAATAGTCCATAAGTTCCCTGACCTCAGGACATTCTAGTAAAGAAACAGATAATAAATAAGTATGTAAAATAATGTAGTATGTAAAGGGGTATGTATTAAGTAATATGGACTGAAAGGACATAAGATGAAGACGGAGATGAGGGCTATGACAGACCCTGTTGCTGCGACAGGAATATTCCAGTCCTCTGTCCTGCCATTTTAATTAGGGCAGTCAGGCAAAGACTGTATTTGAGCAAAGACCTGAGGAGAGTGAGGATCCAGCAATGTGTTTATCTATAAATGCCAGTCCCAAAGGCGAGAATGTGCTCAGCAAGTTCAAGGCATCGTGAGAATGGGTGGCTGGAAGGATGAGTAAAAGCAGGGTTAGATACTCTGGAGCGGGCAGGGAAGGGTGCAAGAAGACGATCAGTGACGACCATTGTCCATCAGTGTCAAGTGCAGGCGTGAGGCCTGCAGGCACTCTGGAGGAGGCAGTGCCGAAGAGGCAGGGCATCTCTGCTCCTCTCCTGGGGGCCGTCGTCCGAGTTGTGGACCATGTGGAAGGGTGTTCGGACACAAAGCTGCCATTGCCCAGGCCAGAGATCTGCCTGAATTGAGGCCTGGAAAGCTACTCTCTGACAGCCAGGTTGACTAGTGATATGGGTGAGGTGGTATCGTCTATATTGTTAAGTTTACCAAGTATTTTCCTACTTTGGATCCTACCGGGTCCTCATAACAGCCCTTTGCAGAAGAGAACACAGAGCCAGAAAGGGCAGTGGTTTCCCCAAGATCACACAGCTAGGAAAGGGGCTTTCAGGCATGTCCTAGGTCCTTTTTTCTTTTGGTCCAGCATACTTCTGTTCCCCAAGCCATCTTGTATTCTTCTGTGACCAGGGAAGGGCTCACTAAGGAGGGCACTAGGAAGAAGCTTGTTAGCCAGGGCAGACCCTGTTGCTGAGACAGGAATATTCCAGTCCTCTCTCCTGCCATATATCTTGCTCCATAATTCTCATCATTGTTCTCTTCCTCCCTTCTCTCTCCTTCCCTCCCCATGCTGCAGTACATGCTGTGGAGAGTAAGTGGCCCTGTCCCCCAGGGAGGCCAAGCTCCTACTTCTGGGGCAGCTGCCCTCCTAGGATGGGGGAGGTTTGGATGGGTTTGAGATTGGGCCCTTCTCTGGTTTGCCTGATGGGTGACCATCAAAAGCACTGGGGTGTGTCTTTGAGGTAGGCTTCCTTGCAGCAGGAGCAGTTGGGGTTAGAAGGCAGAAATAACTTGTTCTGGAACAGTTGGTACAGGGTGCCCATGGGATTCCCTTTGGGGAGCTTTGAGCTAGGAGCAGAGGAGAGTTTAGTATTCTTACATCCCAAGCACTGGGGTTCAGTGACTGACGGTTAGCTCCAGTTAATGAGAGAATCAGTGGGTTTTGTTTTCTGAGAACAAGCAAGACCTTGGTGGGAATAGAGGTTTGGGGTTTACTGACCTCCCAAGGAGGGAGTAGATCTTCATGGGCCCAGGACAGACCTTTTCTAGCTGTTCTTAAGCGGGACCAGGAGGAGCCAGGCTTGAAGGAGATGAGGGGTCAAAGAAGAGCCAGCTGGGTCGCACTCCAGAGGGCGGAAAGAGGAAGCCTGTCCTGCTCCCCCTGATGACCACTTGTCCCTTCTCTCCTAGTCCATGACTTGCAGAGCTTCGGTCTTGACAACGTACGTACGATGGAAACCACAGAGGGCAGGTTGGGTGGGAGGCGTGGCTGCTGCTTTCATTACTCTGAGGTGGGGGAGCACGTAGAGAACAGTATGCCCTGTTCCACTGAGGACCCCATCTTAGGGAGAGCGAAATGGCTTTTTATTTATTTAATTTTTTTTGAGAGAGGTTATTGCTATGTAGTTCAGGCTGCCCTTGAATTCCCTATGGAGCCCAGGCTGTCCTCAAACTCACGGTGTTCCTCCTGCCTCAGCCTCCTAAGTGCTAGGATGATAGGCATGCACCACCATGCCTGGTTTGAGTGTGACTTAAACTGTCAACTGAGCGGGCTAGGGGCAAGGATGGGGTTGGACAGGAGTGTCATAGGGAACCTCAGGGCAAGCTCAGGAGACCTGTGGTAGTTCTGAGGAACTGCATGGGCCTTTGTGGATGGGTGAGATTGAGGAAATTGGCAGGACTGTAGAGAACACCATGTTCTGAGGCCACACTGAGGAGTCCGGTCTTTCCTCCAAGCACAGAGGAAGACTGTTGGCCTACTTTAAGCAGGATCATAACATAATCAGATAGGCATTTTTTAAAAGATCCCTGGAGTGGGCTGGGGATTTAGCTCAGTGGCACTGTATTTGCCTGGCAAGCACAAGGTCCTGAGTTTGGTTCCCCCGCCCCAAAGAAAAGATCCCTGGAGTGGCTGAGTTTGATTTAGGTTGCAACAGAAAGGGAGTACAGCTGAAGATTACAGATCTCCAGCCTCAGCCTTCATGACTTGAGGCAGAGCTGGTTCCTGCCTCTCAGAGTTGGTTCGTGGTCTGTGTGTACCCAGTGTATCTGAAGCCAGTGTTTAACCTCTGGAGCCTCAGGAGACTGTGGACTGAGGAGTTTCTGGATGGGAATTGGGGATGTCTCCTCCTTGCCTCCCTCTCTGTTTCCCCATTTGCACAGACACCCAGGCATCCTTGTCTGCTGCTATACTACTGAGCTTTGCACAGGTTGGGGACTGTCTGGGCCTCAGGCTGGTATTGCTTACAGATCAACATGACCCACTACATCCAGCACCTGTCGTTTGGGGAGGACTACCCGGGCATTGTGAACCCCCTGGACCATACTAATGTCACTGCACCCCAAGGTACCAGCCTGGGAGGTAGCCCCCTGCTGCAAAAGCCCTGCCTGGCACCCATGCTGGTGCTTTCTTTTCCCTACAGCCTCCATGATGTTCCAGTATTTCGTGAAGGTGGTGCCCACAGTGTACATGAAAGTAGATGGGGAGGTGAGTTTGAAGGACCTCAGATGTCAGTCACCTGCTTGGTGCCAAGCACTTGAGGTACTTCATTTAGTCCCTTCAGTCTGGGAGGTGAAGTCTACTTATATCCCCATGTGGTAGATGAAAACCTGAGGCTCAGAGGGTGGATGACTTGCCCTCACAGGAAGAGGCAGGCCCAGGGCCTGGATTTGAAGCACTTGCTCTTTATTCTGGCCAGACAGACTCCATCCATTCCTTCAGTGCCCCTGTCCACCCACTGTCTGACCTGGCCTGGGGGTTAGGCAGACCAAGCCTGCCTGGGCCTTGTTCTGTTCCTGCTGGGGTTTGTGGAGCAGCCTCTCCATGGGGTGGTAGAATGTGAGGGCAAGGGTGTCAGTTCTACCTTAGGATACAGCCTTGGAGAGTTGCTTCTCATCCTGAACCCCTAGGAAAAGTAGCCACCAGATAGAGCTTGGATTGATAAACTATAAAGAGCTGATGATCAGAGGGGAAATCAGGATGACAAGGCTGGGCTAGGGAGGTCTAGGTGGTCCCCAGGTCTTGAAGTGTTGATTACCAACATGGTGCCTCATTGTCCCCTCCACACAGTCAAGGCACAAGACGAGGTAGGCACAGGGCCAGGGCTGGGACTTGGGGCCAGGTCGTACACCAACTCTGGCCCTGGCTCCCTCCCGCCTTAGGTGCTAAGGACAAACCAGTTCTCTGTGACCAGACACGAGAAGGTCGCCAATGGGCTGCTGGGTGACCAAGGACTTCCTGGAGTCTTCGTGCTGTATGAGCTCTCGCCCATGATGGTGAAACTGACAGAGAAGCACAGGTGAGGATGGGGACAAGAGTGACCAGGACCAGGGCCTGTGGGAACGAGGTGCCCACTGAGCCCCTGCTTCCTCTGCCAGGTCCTTCACCCACTTCCTGACGGGTGTGTGTGCCATTATCGGGGGCATGTTCACTGGTAAGAAGCCCCAGGTGTCTCCGGCGCGAGTCAGGAGGGGAGTATAAAGCCTGGTCCTCAGATTTTGGTTGGGGAGGAAGGGGCATTTCAAGGGTCAAGAGAGATACTGGTCTGGCCAGTTGGGTGACAGGGCTTGCTAGATCAAGGTGCTAGCCCTGTCTCTCCCCCAGTGGCTGGCCTCATCGATTCGCTCATTTACCACTCAGCCCGTGCCATCCAGAAGAAAATTGACCTAGGGAAGACAACGTAGTCATCTTTCCCCTTGGTTTTTCTTTCTCCTATTTGTCTTTGGCCTGTGGTTCTATTCCTCAGCCTTTTCCATCCCCCACACTCCCCATCTCCCCAACCCCAGGTTGATAAATTTTGATTGTGATAGTACTCACTGGTCTCTGTGTGATTCTTGGGTCTGGCTGGACCCTGAGACCAGCCCATCATTTAGCCCAATATTGAAGTGGCTGACAAGTCAGAGCCATATGCCCTTGGGGAGCCCGACATGGGCATATGCTACCTAATGGGGTTTTATTTGTCCCAGACTGATGTTACTACATAGCTCAGTGCTCAGTCCCTTGTCTGCTATGACCAGATGGACTTGTCCAGAGTCCTCAGGCTCGTGGAGTGGCTGACACCCCAGTGCCCTGAGTGAAGGTTGGGATTTGCCATTTCTGGTGACAGCTGCAGCTGGAGCTACACCCCACAGCCATGAACTCGACCATAGGCTCAGTCACCTGACCTTACCTTACTGACCCTGCTCTGTGCCAAGCCTTGTGCCGGCCCTCGACACAGAGAAAAGTGCATCCTGGTCTTTGGTGGCTTCTGATGGAAGCAAAACTGAAAAGCAAGTAGGGAAGATAGCAAGGGCCATCTTGGAGCAGGGCAGCACCAGAGCCCTGGCTCAGGACTTACAGGGCTTCCCTTAGCCCTTCCTGTATGTAGACAACTATGGTCCAGGGGCCTCACCACCGTAGCCCAGAAAGCTGGGATGGTAACTCCTGCTCAGCTTATCAGAATATGTCTCAGGGAATGACTGTACCAACTTAGCAGCATGGACATATGCAAAGAACAGTACAATGACAGGACCCCTGTGATAGTCCAAGAGTGATGTGTCTTTGTGAACACCAGTTATCTAGAAATGGGGGGTGACAGCATGGCTACGGTGATCCTTGAATTTGGTTACTCAGGAACCATCCCCTTGTTCACAGCATCCTGAATTTCCTGGGAACCGCTGTTCACGCTCCTAGCTTACGTGGTTTGGGATGAGGGTTAGTATCCCACCCTAAGTTTCCCCCTGGCCACAGTTACCAAAGCAAGCCAGGTCCTGTGGGAAGAGGGCCACTTTCTTTCCTTCTGTGGTAAGGAGGGAAATACAAGGTTGCTGCAGCAATTCTGCAGTTCCGGAGGGGGAAACCACCTGCCAGGGGTGGCACAGCTAAGCCAAGAGGCAGAGAGCTGGTCTTGGTGACTAGCTGCATCTGAAGTCAGCCAACCAAACCAATAAATTCCCTCAGGATCGGAATTTCTCACAACCAGAAGTGTTCTAACAGATGTGCTCCCTCCTAGGGTTAGTAAGGAATGAATAAAATAGCAAAGTGCTTCCATGTGGAATGGCAGAACCACGGAGACCCAGTCCCAGCCAGGAACGGGCAGCAGGTGACCTGCCCGAATGCTGACTGTCCAGTGAGAATGAGTGGATGCCATGAGCCCCCAAGCAGGTTCTGGTCTTCCATCCGTGTGCATTTTAGCAAATCCCCATCGCCTGAAACTACTCAGGAACGCCTGTGTCCTCTGCCACCTGTGGTAGCCCACCCTACACAAATATCCGGCTCCGGTGGACAAGTGATTAAGTTTTACTGAAAGAAAGCACTCAACTCAGACAGCTCGTACTGGCAGGAAGGACTTGTGTCTCAGGACAGTTGGAGTCAGGGCTTGTGAAGGGGGCTGAAGATGGCCTGGCTGATCTGGCCGGGCATGGTGTAAAACACCAGGAGGAGGAAGACCGTGATGAGTGCCAGCACGAGCAGGAGCACCAGTATGCGCCAGTACCGGCGCAAGATGAAGAAGACGAAGGTCTTCAGTGGGTTCACGAACCAGTTGAAGGAGGTTTTAGGGCGGCTGTTGGCAGAAGGACCGAGTCAGGATGACCAAGAAGCCCCTGCCAGTCCTCCCTCTGCCCTCTTCTCAGTCCTGCTGGGCTCCACTCACTTAGGTTTCTCCAGGGGCTCTGGCTCTTTTCGTCCCTTGCCCACTGGCCGCTTCTCTGCCTCTTCTACAGTCAACAGCTCAAACTCTGCCTCCACCTTCCCCTAAGAAAGGACACTTGGGTGTCACTGGGAACAGAAGCGAGCATTTAGCCGGGCCCGCGTCCCTGCCCTGCCGCACTCACTGTGAGGATGTAGACATTGCCGCCGGAGTCCGTGAACTCCAGGTCCTCAGGCCTGCCCTTCCTCTTCTTCCTCTTCTTCTTGCCAGCCTTGGCCTCCCGCTCCTCTCGCTCCACATCCTCTGGCTCTCGAAGCTTCACTACAGGCCACCAGCCCCGCAAGCGGCGGCAGCGGAACAGATTGCACCTTGGCGCGGCGCCATCTCGGGCCAGCCGCACGGAGCACTGTGCAGGGTCCCGGGCGCCCCGCACCATGTCTGGGAGCTGCAGCTCCAGGGATCCTGCAGGATCAGAGTGCACTGGGTTAGGTGTGAGCTTCAGGTCTAACTGGTCAGCAGCCAGGAGGCTGCATAGCAGGGCTGGAAGTGGGGCCCCAAAAGTTAAAATATGGTTGTCAGGCCACAGCTATGGACCACACAACTGCCAGCAGTGGTCCGATCCCAACAGAAGAGGGCCACGGACTGAGGTCAGATCGCCAAAGTCAGGATCATAGGGTCCGGGTTGACCTCGGCTAGGGTAAAATCAGACTGAGGCAGGGACTGTGAACACAAATGGAAGTTACTGTCCCCAGTCCAGTGAACAAAGGGTCAGGTCTGGGTCTGAGATCCCAGGACTCCGCGGTGACTTAAGAGTAGGGAACCAAGGGACAAGGGAGGCAAGGGGTGGTGGACAATGAGGGTAGAAATCAGGGGTAGGGTTTGAGGGTCGAGAAGGCTGAGTAGTACCAAGGAAGTCGTTGGCAGAGATGCGGTCATAGTCCCAGACCTGCAGGACCAGCACAGCCGGCTGCCGGAACTCAGCCTCTTCTAGGGCAAAGGGTCCAGGTCGGCGCCGGACGCTCACCTCCCGCTCCGTGGGCAGGTAGTCGAAACGGAACACAAAGCGCCAGTTGAAGTTCCCTTCCCCAGTCAGGGAGTTGAAGTGGACATCTGTCTCCTGTTTGTCATGCTCCAGCCCCTTCACCCAGCTGGGGCCAGGGGAAGGGACAGCAGGGCAGGTGGGCGTCAGGGTTGGGCCCAAACTTGGTTCCTCACGAAGCTCTGGGCACACGAGGGCTTGGGGACAGGCTGTAGACTCAGAGAGCCCAAGGCCCTGCTCGCATTTCCCCCGTAGGGTAGCCATTGGCCAGCCCTTCCACAGGCCTACCTTTTCACATAGATGTCACTTGACATCTCTCCAGTGAGTGGATTCACATCATCCAGAACCACGTCTTCTGTGTTCCAGATGACAACTCTGAGCTCATAACTGGGGGATGTATTGGGGGATGGTTTTCCGGCTCAAGAGGGGTCCCAGGAAGGACTGCAGGAAGCCAGAAGGACTGGGGCCAAAGCCACTGACATTCACTGAGCCCCTGATGTGTACCCAGCTGGATTGCCAGTATGCCTGTGGTCCCATAAAGGGACAGCAGGTGGCACCAAGAATGCTGTCCTGGCCCAAGACAGTACATGAGCACTTCCCATAAATTTGGAGTCAGGACCCTGAAACACTGGCACAGAAGCAGACGCAGAGCTGGACCCACTGCAAGCCAATCTGATGTGCAAGCTGAAGTCCAGGGGTGCAGAAAAGTGGTGATTGAACAGAGAGGAAAGTCAGTCTGCAAAGAGAAGTCGGGGGGGGGGGCCAGCAGACAGGAAGGGAGGGACAGGAGGAGGGGCTGCAACATCCTGGATCCTACCCTCATGTGGCCCGTCT